TGGGAGGCGTCTTGCTGTTTTATTTTTTATTTTTATTTTTGCTTTGGAAATGTGGCGGTTTTAATGGCGCCTTTTCCCTCACTGCACTTTTTGTTTTTTATTTTTGCCTCACATCCTCCCCACCTCCTTCGCGCGCTTCCGCCGGGACGGGAGAGAAGGGACGAGGCGCAGGGGAGGCCGGATGCCACGGAAGGGAAGGAAGAATGCCCCGCTGCAGCTTGTGGCGCCGGAGCCGACCGGCGATGAGTTGGAGGCCGACATGCTGTGGGACCGCGTGAAGGAGGTGGACGATAAGCCCTCTTTCATGGACGGCTCCCTGCTGGACGCGACCCGGGCGTGCTTCGAGGGGGAGAAGGGCTTCAGCGGCACGGGCGAGGCGGCGCGGACGGCCTTCGCGGGGCGGCCCCGGCACCTGCTTGCCCCCCGTGCGCGGCGCCAGTTCCTGGAGGCGGAGGCGGCGCTGCGGCAAACGATGGAGAGCACCAATAACGTTCAGGAGGAGGCCAAGGACTTCGAGCTGCTGAAGGAAAACGAGCAGGAGGAGGCCCGGCGAAGCCGGGAGAAGGTCACCACGACGGCGCTGAACCTCATAACTGAATTATCGGATGCACGTCTCACTCTCTTGGAGGACATGGATGAGTTGGCGGCGGACTTCTTTACCGAGCAGTGTGGGATGCTTGAGACGCTGACCAACCTCGCCGTCAAGGACAATGAGGTGGAGGCGGCGTTTCTCGAACAGCAGACGACGCAGCAAAAGTGCCGTGAAGCGGAGCGGCGGTATTTCACCGAGCACGGAGAGCACGTTGTTCTCATGGCCGATATGCAATACGAGACACGGCGACAGCAGGATGAGATGCTTCGCTCGATTGTCCAACGCCTGGAACGGGGGGTTAGTGAAATGACAAAGCTGTCCGTGGAGGAGTTGGGGGACAAAGTACATCAGCAGGAGGAGATGTCGCAGCTCATTGTGGAGCTTCTGAAGGTGCAGGGGAGGTCCGCCGTCCTCGAGAAGAAGACGACGACGATCGCGGAGCAGAGGACCGCGCTGCAGCGCACGATTGCGCTGGAGTTGCAGAAGCAGCAGCTCTGCATCAGGCGGCAGAAGCAGCTTAGGGACGAACTCAGCTCCTTGACCGCCGCCGTGCGGGAGAACGATATCCGGCTCCTCGCAGCGACGGGCAATACCACCCCAGGCGCCGCCCACGCGGCCACGCCGCCCGTGGTGCCCAACTCTCCCAACACCATTACGGGCCTGACAGAGCCGGATGAGGAAAATGGTTTGGCGCTTCTGACCGTCGCGGCGCAACGGGATTTGGAGGTTAGCGCCACGGAGCTTGCAGCGTACAAGAATGAGCTTTGGTCGCTGCGACGTCAGCATCTTGTGCAACTTAGTGGACAATATCAACAGTCCAAGCTGGAAAAGGCCTCCAGTAGAGCCACGCGGGGTTTCCTTTTAGATGCGGACACGAAGGCCGCTGTTCGCTCGGTCGTTCTGGAGGCGCTGATGCAGGTGAGCCAAATTCTTGGCGTGGCAGACGACACCGCCAGCTTCTCTGACAACGTTGAGCGTTTGTTGTCTGTGGCCGATGTAAGGGATCGCCAGGCTATTCAAGACTACGTGGCGAGACGCATCAACACGCTGTTTAGCTGCGTCTGCCCAACAGCTCCGCCGCTTCTGTTTCTCCGAGAGCCGGCGCATGTACAGTCGGAAATGTAGTTGTGTGAGCTTCATCTGTGAATATGTCTACATACACGCATACACAAACATTGCCTTTGCGTCTGTGTGAGTTCTCCAGCTCCGCATACGACTGCCGCTAGCTGGTATGAATTATATATATTGTATACGTGTGTGTGCGTGTGCGTGTGTTTAATCTTCTGCTTCTTGTGCCGTTGCCGCTTGTAAACGGGGGGGGGATCATGAACGGGGGAGAAACAAGGTTGGGCAGAAAGGAAAAGGACCGAAGCAAGAAAAAGAAAAAAAACAAAAGAAAACAAAAGAGCAGGCTTTGCTCACACGCACAAATGCCACAGGAACGCGAAATTGCTTATGAGGGCGAATCAGAGATGCAAGGGGTTGAGTTGCGGAAAGGCGCGGAGTATGCACTGGTAAACTCCGAGCCGGAGTTTACGGCGCAAGCGGCGACAAACGGCGAAGAGGAAGGGGCCCGCATGGTGGATAGTGATGGGAGACGGAAGCGCAAATTCCCGTACTGTGATATAATTTCTCATGGCGGCATGCTCTCCGGCGCCTACAACCTTGCCTCGGTGACGCTTGGTTCTGGAATCATCACTCTCCCATCCGCGTTCAACGGCACAGGCATTGTGCTGTCCCTGATTATTCTTGTTTTCATCTCCGCGGCGACGGTGTACTCAACCTACATCTTGGCTTTGGTGGTTGAGAAGACCGGGTTTCAGGGGTATGAGAAGCTGGCGCGCGGCCTGCTGGGGCGTGGGTGGGACTTCTGGGCGGCCTTCAATATGTGGATGTTTTGCTTCGGGTCGTGTGTCTCTTACGTGATCTCCGTGGGCGACATGCTGACCCCTATTCTGGACGATCCCTCCCTGACCCCGTTCCTGCGAACAGTCTGGGGAAAGCGCTGCCTGGTGATAGTGATATGGGCCTGTGTGATGCTGCCGCTTTCGATTCCAAAGCAAATCAATTCCCTGCGCTACGCCTCGGTCGTGGGTGTCTCCTTTATGATGTTCTTCGTCCTCACTATTGTGGTGCACGCCGTGCGAGGGTTTGAGCAGGGAAAACCGCGCCATGAACTGAAACTCTTTCGCTCAGGCAACGGCGTCATCGTTGGATTCTCGCTCTTTATTTTTGCATTCTTGTGCCAAACAAACTGCCTTGAGGTATACGCAGAAATGCGAAAACCAGCGCCCCGACGCATGGCACGGGACACCGCACTTAGTATGGTTGTGTGCTGCCTCCTCTACATTCTGGCTGGCTTCTTTGGGTATGCAGACTTTGGTGACCGCATCACCGATTCAATTCTGCTCTACTACAATGTCCGCGAGGATCCCATGGTTGCCGTCGCGTATGCCGGTCTCGCCTTCAAGCTTTGCGTCGGATTTGCCATATGCATGCAGCCTTCGCGGGACTCCGTGTACCACTGCATTGGGTGGCATGTCACCACCATGCCCTTCTGGAAGAACGCCGTGTGCTGCACCGCACTCTCTATCATTGCCCTCTTGCTAGGACTATTTATCCCCAGCATCACCATTGTCTTCAGTCTTGTGGGGAGCCTCTGCGGTGGGTTTTTGGGCTTCATCTTCCCCTCGCTCTTCTACATGTACGCTGGGAACTGGACCCGGAAGAGTGTCGGCTGGTCACACTACCTCGCCACGTATTTTCTGCTCCTTTCTGGTGTTGTGGCGGTCGTTTTTGGTACCACCGCCTCCATTTTTGGAGTCGTGCAGGATCATTGAGTCGCTCTCTGCAACGCCTGCCTGGACGCGGCACGGGGCAAATACAGTGCGCGCGAAGGAAAGAAGGAGAGGAATAGGCTCTGAAGCAGGAGACCCTATCGAGTTCGGGGAGGCGCGGCGCATCGCTGCAGCTGCGCCTGCGGTTGGAGGGTGAGCCAAAACAACAGTAAGGAAAAAAAAGAAAAGGAAAAAAAAAGAGTCGGTTACCGGTTTTGGCCTAGTCGCAAACAAATTGTGTGTTTGCCGGTCTTTGTGCCACCGTAGCAGGTAACGTAGATGGTGTTTTTTTTAAATATTAGTGTGTTTTTCTTCATGTTTTGTTTTGGCTGCTGGGCCGGGCGAGTGCGCGGACGCTTCCGTGGGGGACGGGAATAAAACGGGACCGTGCGTCTGGGTCCCCAGTTTCGCGAAGCTGACCATTTACTTTTACTTCTTTCTTCTCCCGCTTCCCCATTAACGAGTGAAATCCTGACAGAAATAGTTTGCAAGCGACGACAGTACGCGGAGAAAACTTCGCGCGACGTGTTTTTTTTTTTCGTTTTTCTTTTCGTTTTGGTTATGCTTGTGCGTGCATGGGGGAGGGGTTTGCGCCCGCGATCGTGAGTGCCGCAATTTTTTTTGCGTGTTTCTCTCCACCTGCCGCGGGAATAAACAAAGCTGCGGCGGCAGCGGCAATAAAAGAGTATTTGGGTGGTGACTGCTTTCTCTGCTTTTGACACACGTGCGTTTGCGGGGCAGCGTCACCGCGGGCCGTTGACGTAGTTGCGGAAATTTGCACTTGGAACCTGCGACCCGATGGGGCGCCGTGGATGCCGCCGCGTCTTTATCAGCTCCCCTGTTGCTTCTTGCGTTACTTGAGTTGTGTTCCCAATGACGCCGCGGTGGAAGGCGGCAATTGGCCCCGGCGAGGCGGTGGTTTCGCAGTGCCGCCTGCACCCCCTCCCGGGCGCAGGCGCTTCTTCTCCTGCCCGAGGCACCCGCCAGTGTGGCGGACGGCTCGGAGGATGCGGGGCCGCCCCGCAGTTCCGCACGGCGACGACGTTGGCCTCCTGCGTCCGTGACGGGGAGCTCAACGCGGCGCGGGGCGTTGTGGTGTCGGGAACAGGCAACCCGCACGGGGTTGAGGAGGCTTTTTTGCGCGCAGTTTCTGGGGTGTGCGGGTGCACGCCCTCGTTGAACCCCGGCAACACGCCGACGATCGGCTTCCGGGCGACGCTGCTTTTGGATGCGCAGACCCCGCCGCATCCGACTCGAGTCTGCGGCCGCGTTCGCAGTGGGCGTCTCTGTCGACGGCTGGCAAAGGGCAACGGGGACAGCCAGCACGCTGCCGCTAGCAGCAAATTATTTGGCCGCGACGCCGCTACACAAAACGTGCGCAGCTTCGTGTTTCCACTGTGCTACCGACTGAGTCTACGGGCTGTCCGACGGTTTCCCACACACTTGCACACACACATAAAAAAAGGGAACGCCGAGGGGATGCACAATGGCTGCGCTGAAGGTTGACGCCTCGAAGTTTCTCTGCCTCATAGCAATTTTGGAGATCCGCTTGACGACGCATTCTTATTTTCTTTTTCAAGGCGATGCGCCGACTCATGCTCGTTTTTCTACTGAGAGAACCTCCTTGGGCGACCCTGTTTTCTTTTCTTACCTCTGACGCCTGTCGGTTGTGGCTTCGCGGCGCTTGCAGGACTCCTTTGGGAGAGCGCGGATGCATGACATTAAAAAAAGAATCGTGGGCACTCCGCGACTTGCCTCGGCACGGGTGCGGCGTCACACGGTTGTTGTGCGCTGCTGCTTCCGGCTGGCGCAGGCGTCGAGGTGGGCCGTTTTTTTTCTTCTCTTGCTCGCATTCGCCGAGGGTTTGCTCCAACGCATTGGTGCCTGCACGGACACTGCCTCGTTGCGGGGTGACGCCTTTGAAGAGGAGAGCAGTGCGCCTTGGCGCGGCAATTGGAAGTATTATTTTGTGTCCTCTTTTTGGCGTCCACGGCACGGATGCGTCTTGAGCACACGTGCGGTTACAGGGCATCTCCGCGCGGATGGCGGTGTCGCGCGGTCTTTACTTTAGTTACAACGGCTTGGCGAAAGGGGGCTCAACTTGCGAGGGGGAGCGGGCCAGTGCGGCGGCGTCCCTCCTCCTCCTGCTTGCGGAAGGGCAGCCGGCTGGTGTGCTCTGCCCCTTCTCGCTTGAGTGGATTGCGGCACAAAATGC